AAAGCAGGAGAGCAGAGCTGCGTTTGTGTCTGTTTGCTGTCGGTTTGTCTCAGCGCTCCACTCACGCATGACGTTTGCAGTCGTGCACTTCAGGCACTGACGTACTTTCAAACATCTACACGTACATTATAAGAAAAAAACAACCTTGAATTAGATTCTGTATTTTCAGCGGCTGCGTGCCTTTGATACTGTAATATTGTTACACAGTTGGTTCAGTTTGTCAGTACAGTTTGTTCCATGTGCTGCAGGTTCAGTTTAACAGATGATTGGTCTGTTATTCTCTTCTGCTCGCTGCCACGGTGTTCACAAACACATCGTGTGCGTCAAAGGGTCACATAACTCTCACTACACCGCTTTTCTGTTGATTTTAAGATTTAACTGGTTGCTTTTAGGGCTCAACTAGGTCAGGTTCCAACCTTGGCGTTTTAAAGAGTGAATGTTTAACCCTGTGCTGGAGCACAATCTTAAAGCTTCAGTTTCATCTTCAAGTTTTTTTTAAATTGATGGTCAACAATGAAAAAAATTAAACTGTGATGTGAAGCATCTTTTTTCTCTTCTGCATGAATCTGAGTGGTAAGTGCTGTCCCCTCACAACGAGAAGGTTCCTGGTTCGATTCCCGTCTGACAGGAGTCTCTCTGTGTAGAGTTTGCATGTTCTCCCTGTGAATGTGTGGGTTCTCTCAGATACTCCGACTTTCTCCCACAGTCCAAAGACATGCTCGTTAGGTTAAATTGTGACTCTAAATTGCCCATAGGTGTGAATGTGAGTGTGGCTGGTTGTCTGTCTCTATATGTCAGCCCTGTGATTGACTGGTGACCAGTCCAGGGTGTAACCCCGCCGCTCGCCGCTGGGATCGGCTCCGGTCCCTGCGACCCCGAACAGGAAGAGCGGTATATTTGTTGAATGAGCGTGAATCTGTGTTAACAAAAGTGTCAGACAAAGCCTGAGGTCTCCTGTCACCCTGCAGGTTTTAAATGCACAGTAGTTTAATTTAAAAGTAAAAAATGGTGTATCATCCTTTTCACATCACATCTTTATAGCGTAAATGATGAACACAAAGCTCGCGACCTTCCTCTGCTTGACATCTACAGACTGTATGTCCGTCCTGAGGATTTCTCTCTCCTGAGGAGACATGCGCTGAAGTTTGCATCTCTATTTGGGACAACCTACTGATGTGAGCATGTTTTTTTCCAAACAGACTCTTGCAAAAGTCTTGTTTCCGCTCAAGACTGAATCACCAAAACCTAGAAAACCAGCAGCAAGTGGCATCATCATCACTGCCATCTGACATCACACGCCTCGCCAAAGGGAAGCAGTTCAAGCCATCACATTAGACGTGGTTAGTGAGCTGAGATACTGTGTTCAGTTTATTGTAAGGCCTTGATAGGAACATGGTTACCCACCTCTTCTTTATACCATGCATGTCCAGCTGTTGGACACTTATCAGAGAAACTAATAAACATGAAAACGATGTCAGATTCATTTTGGTTATATGACGCACGCTACCTCAAGTAGAATGAAAACTAGGTTGCCGTAGAAAGTGTGAGTTAAGTTGAGGATTAATACATAAACCCATGTGTTTATCTTACTGTATCTCTAATCTGTGTCTCTTTCCCGGCTCCGTCACACACTCCTTTAGCAAAGTCTCAGTGACGTAAACGCCTCCAGAGCTGCGTGGTCAAACACAGAAACTGACAGTTATTATGCCGTTGATGAGGTGAAGTGTAACGGCTTTATGAGCACTCGACAAACAATGACTCATGAATGTATTTGTGTGAGAGGTGAGGAGAGAGGTATGAGCAACTTTCCACATGCCAATAGCTGGTCTTTGCACATCCTCCCTACCATTCATGTTCTAAGACATGAAGTGGCTTGTTCTGCTTTGTTAGACATCGATTGAGCAGGTTGTATTGATGACTAACATCGTCACATTGCTGCTAAAGGTGAGAGTGCATTGATTAGAGCAAAAAGAAAGTATTAAAGAGTGTATGCGCACATTATTATTTCAGATGCTACAGGGATGCTTGAAATATTTCAGATTTAGAAAAGTATTTATTTATGGCTGAAAGTACGGCCATAAGCCTGTTGAAAACAGGGTAGTCCTGCCTCTGATTAGGCAAATAGCCAATCATCGATTTGGATTTTGGGTTTGCAGTTGGGGTGCCCATGCCACCCCTGGCCCCCCCTCTGGACATGCCCCTGCCCTGGTGAAATTTCCACATAAAGTCGAAGTGTGCCGATGTGTGAATAAAGATAAGTAAGTTCGGAAAATCACCGCAAGCGACCAAGCAGGGATGATATTGTTCATATCAAGCAACTGGTGAGCCACTGGTGCGATCATCATGCACTTAGTGCTTCATTCTCTTTTCTGTTTCGAGTCTGTTCTTAACCTCTCACTGGTTGATCCTTTGAATGTGTCCAATAATGCGTAGCTTTCATATGAAGGCAGATACTCTTCTTTCCTCATTGTCTTACTCGTGTCATTTCCTGCCTTGCATTTGTGAACATGCAACTAAGGAAGGATTCCAGGAGCAGCTTGTGGAGTGAATCTGTGAAAAAGACTTCTGAGTACCCTCCTATAAAATGTACAATACTCAGCTGGTTTAAGAAATGATGTAAAGGTCAGGCCATTTTTTCTTATGTTACATTTAACAGGTAGTGTTACAGATGCCTCACCCCAATGTACCCCCTCCTTCACATCCCTACAAAGCTGCAACCTCCAGGTTTGAGAAATGAAAGAGGACATATTATACTCCTTTGTCACTTTTTCAAACAGTCCCCTGTGGTTTAAATGAAACATATATGCTGTGCTTTAGTCAAAATATAACATGAATCAAGCACCAGAGGAGGTTTGTGACCCTGTATAAACCAGCTCTCTCAGAACGCTCCGTTTTGGTGTGTGTGTCTCTTTAAATGCAATGAGCCCCCCCTGAGTTTCCCGGTAAACATCATTCCTCTGTAGAGAGAATAAAAATGGCGGACCTGTGCAAAAGTTTTGTCTAGGCTGAGGGTGGAGTCCATGGGTGGAGATACCAGGGGAGGAGAGTTTTTACCAGAATCCCACTGTGACATCACAAGGAGAGCACACTTGAAACGGAGCATTTTTCTCTGTGTTGTAAGACTTATGCAGACCACAAACAAAGGACTGGATGGTTTTATTTCACATTTTGTGTGTCGGTAGACACTCAGGTTACCCAAATATATGTTCAAAAACACTGTCAATGTGGATTTTTCATAATATGTCCCCTTTAAGCAGTTACGGAATTGCCAAAAGCTGCACTTTCTCATGTGGCCACTTGAGGCTGACTCCAAAAGCAAGTCAATTCCCATTAGGCCCCATATTAAAATATCCAACTTTACAGCAATATTTAAAAAGCTTGCAGTCTGGTACAAATAAAGGTTTTATAATCTTTATACTTCATTTCTCAAATGATAAGTGTATTGTGGGGATTTCTTGTGATCAACTATTGAAATTTAGTGCTAAATAGCGATTAGAAAATGTTATCGTTTGACAACACTAATCTTTATATTTGTGAAGGTTGGGAAATCAGAAATTGTTAATTGATGTATGCATCTGGTTTTTGTAATTTTAGGGGATTTGTTGTCAATAATAAAATTGCAGACTTACTCCATCCTTTTCTGTAACTTTAAATGGTCACCCGCTTTGCTTTTCTTTTCTGTCTCACAAACACTGATCTCATATCAGCGCCCCTCTGAGATTACATCTCCTTACAGCACTCACATCACCACCCAAAGCTGAAGCTACCATACCTCTCTCATCTTGCATATTTTCTCAATCAGAGTGTATTTATAGTGGAGCCACCATGCAGGCTGCAACCCGAGCAGGTTCTCTTCGCCTCTGCAGCGTTGTCTCAGTCGGCAGCATGCTGCCCACACGCACTCGGATGGAAGTCATGCTTCACGTTTCACTTGTCAGTGAGTGGATTAGGAGGGAGGAGGGTCTCTGTGAGGCACCAAAGGGTGATCCTCTCTGCAGTCTGGTGGTTTCTCTGGCTGATGAAAACCTGTCATTACTGAAAGTGCGTCACAAGCCGTGCAAGCATGCAGTCAACACTGCTCAAGGAGTGTGTTTACGAACAAGTCAGAGTCCATTTTTTCTTCACAATAACACTGGAGACGGACGGCCAGTAAAGGCAACACATCACTTCCCATTGTCTCTAAACTTCCTCTTCCTAACCCCCTCTCTCTATCAATCTGTTCCTGTCTCTCCCGCTATCGGCTCAGGGTTTCTGCCTGTTTAAATGTAATTCTTCCCTCCTGCTTTGCTTGTGATGGATTTATGTTGGGTCTCTTCAAGTAGCACATCAAAGTTTACCATCTAGATCTGCTATTCATGCAAATCAAATCAATGAAAATTGATTGATAAAATGAGTGAAAAGCTTTGCCTGATGGGACCTTACTCATCATTTCTCCATCAAACTTTAGATCCATTGTCTTCTTTGTGTCATTGTTTACTTGTAATTTTCTCGATCAGTTTGACTGAATTACTGGATTACAGCAAAAGTTCAGTAAATATCAAAACTAGGGATGCACCGATGCATCGGTTCAACATCGGTATCGGCCAATATTGACAGAAATCGGCACATCAGCAAATAATGTGGCATGAGTTGATGTCAGTAGCAGATGTTCATTTGTTGTGCCAAATGAATTTAACGCACAGCATTTAGTTCACCTAACTATTGATTCAGATAAGAGGTTTTGAATTGGGCAGAAGAAATCAACAATGAACAAACTCTGACTTGTTTTCATTGTCAAACATGAGAGAAAATGTTGCATTGTGGGAGACCAAAAGAAGTCATGAAACAAACAATCGACCAAATTGTTATTTCAAACATCTGTATCAGCCCTGATTCTTCAAATCGGTGCATTTTTAGTCAAAACACACATACACAACTCATTGCAAACTTACAGCTGAAGTCACAATTGCACACCTGATATAGAATTTTAAAGATAAATTAAAATAGGAAGACACTCGAAATACTTCAAAATATTTATTAAAGAATATATAACACATATTGAAACATAAAGTCAAACAGTATGAAGGTTATTTTCATTGAAAGTCAAGGTGACTTCAGAAGTCAGAAACAGCAATAAAAATTTACATCTACAACTCCCCTTGGTTATGAACAAAAGAAAGAATAAATAAAACATTGTAAAAGGCTTCCAAACCGAAAGCCAGAGCAGAGATTTCATCACTGTGACGCCGGGGAAAAAAACAATCTTTGTGATGTTTCTCTTCTGGTTCAGTGACATCCAGGTCACTTTAAGGCTCAGTTCTTTGCTAAGTCAAAGTATTTACAGCGTGGTAACTCAGTATACTAACTTTTTTTAAACAGGTGACTGGTCGAGTAGAAAATGTTTGAATCGAAACACAAAAATACCGATACATCTTGAGATTGGAAAAATATCAGCAAACTTTCATCATTCAAGTTTTCCTCATAGAGCTCTACGGTAGAAAAGGGAATACATCTGAAGAATGTTCAACACGCTGTCATTGGCTACTTTTACACTCGTCATAACTATACAGCAGAATAACTTGCAGCCTGACACACTGGCACATTACTGTACAGGTTTGCATCAGGTGCATCTTCAGCTTTATACTGCATGTTAGTAAATATTAAATGTAGACTTCTGTATAACAGCAGCTCACACACACAGGCAGGCTGGCAGAAAGGCCAGTTTGGTTCAGTTCAGTTTGCCTCCATCTGAAGCTCTGTCAAGGTGAAGCGAGGACCACGGGGTGTCAGGAGGCGGGCGCCCTCACTGGGTGGAGTCGGAGTCACTGGAGTCCAGGCTGGCCTGTGTGGGAGTCTGTGGGGTGCAGCTGTGGTTTGCAGCCGGTGGGCAGTGGAGGTCTGTGTGCTCCGCCGCAGGTTCTCCAGAGACTGCAGAAAGGAGCGCCGTGCCCTCTCCTCCTCCAGCGGGGAGGAACCTTCTTCTTCTACCTCTGCGATCTCAGCGAAGGTGACCGGCTGGGTTTTGAAGCGAGCCTCTCGAGACCGGCGGGAGCGGCTCTTGCCCCTCGCTGGGCCCTTGGGGACCGGCAGCTGCTGGGGGAACTCCTCCATGGCCGAGGCCATCAAGTGAGCCGGCAGGACGTGGAAGCCAGAAGCCTCCATAACCATCTGACGTACAGCAGCCATTGGTTGACAGATCCACAAGTTTACTTAATCAGTTTTTAAGTGCGAACACAGCTGGAAGAAGACAGCTGACAACCTGTGCTCCTCTAAAATTGTTCTTCTCTGCTCACTGTGGGGCCTTCTACTATTTGAAGATAAGTCCTTTTTCAGAAGACTCAATGAATACAGGCTCCAAAACACGCATCAAACAAGGCATCAAACAAGGAACCCAGAACCTCAGCTGTCCACTCTCTGCTCTCCTCGCTGTGGGTGCTTCAGTTCAAACTCTGCTGGTCCCTGACGTCTCTTTTCTGCCTGGTAGTTTCTCATGAGTGTGAATCTGGGTCTGCTGAGCTAATGCCTGTGACAGCTCCAGCACGGCCTTTTATAGCAGCTCACTGCCCACCCTCTCTCTCTATCCCTCCCTCTCCCTCTTTCCCTGTGTTTGCCAGGGCCCTCCCACTCCCCCTCCTTCCTTCTCCTCTTCGTCATGGTGCAGGCTTTTGGATCAGTCAGTCAGTCACTTCACCAAAATAAACATGTGAGGAGAGAGTATGTACATGTAAACATGTGGGGAGGGAGGGGTTCGTGAACGGAGGGAGAGAAAACAGCCAATAAAAATGAGTCGCTCAAAGCAGAGAAGAGAATGAGAGCAGGGAGAAAAGTAAAAACGTACCCTCAATTACCTGTTTTGACAAGAAAATGCAGGACAGGTTTCTCGAGACAGACACAGCTCTGGAAGACATTTCTACCTTTGTGTTGTCACAATAGGAGATAAGGACCGATTTGTTTATGTAACTCTCAGGTGATTTTTGTGTCTTCAATTGTGTATTTAGTTTGAGAAAACCAATATGTTTAGGTGTAGGGCATGGTTGATGTTGCTGCAGAGGAGGAAGCAACAAAAAGTATGTAAATGGTTAACATATAAGCAAACAAGTGTACTGACAAGCTAACGTTACATATCGCATATAACATGATTTAGCCGCTCATCACCATCCTACTAGCGGGCTTACATGCTAACCTTTCTCTACCTCATGGAGGGATCTGGGTGTCTGTCATTGAGGTGTTTGGTGAGGTTTGAAGTGTAAGCTTACTGATACAACACTGTTTTTTTTTAGCATCGTTAGCATACAGGTTCGATATGTTGTAGGTTCACCATCAGTGTCAGCTCTACAGGCAAAGTATTCCAGCAGGAGATGTTAGCAGGCGGTTCTGTTGAGAAGGATGCAGTGGTATTCTTACAGACGATTATTCGCTGTTGATTTCGTCGGTGGACATGTTGAGGCGGAGAAAAATACTCGGAGTCTGGAGGAGAAACTCCGGGTGAATTCCGAGCGAAAAATTTGTCTGTTTGTGTTCACACATAGAGCTGCTCAGGGAATTATCAGGAGTTTTTCAGGAGATTTCTGCAAGTGTGAAAGCCCTACAGGGGAAGTGCAGTCTTTGGCACTTCAAGTTTTGGTTATGCTCCTCAGCCCTACAGTGAAAGTAGATCGGTAGTACACCAATAAAGCAGATTCAGAGCACTAATAGTCACAGAAGATTATGGAAATAAAATGTACACCTATGTATCCATCGCTAAGAACCCTGGATCGTTTACTGTAAAATCAAGTCATTTTTCATGCTGTTTATCCAGAGTTGTTTGTGTAAGCAATGAGTTTTCCACAGGCAGTGAACTAACCATCACACCCGCTGTGTGCATCAGTCTTTGATGTTACCCGTGACTTTACCGAGCCATAAAAACATCTCAGAAACTGGGTTTAAAGACTAGTTAATGTTGAACAGATCTGTCTGAGTCGGGTACTCGTCTTCCCCTCACATAAAGGAAGGGTCTTTTTTGTCTACTTTCTAGTTCTAATTAAAATTACAAGAGAATTCACTTTTCCATTTTGTCCTCCTAATCATAAACAAACATCTGTGCAACATGTGAGAGAAGAAACCTGCCTTATGAATGAAGCAACACACAACAACATAATTAGAAGATTTGAGGCCAGATTTCTACCTTCCGGTAATCCTGTGTACACTAACCCTGACATGCTGCCACCAGGAGAGACACTGATAAATGTAGTCATAACACTTACCGCTCAGATGACGTAGCTTGTTGACCTGATGATGCTGGGACTGCTGTAAGGCTGTAATGTTTGTGGATCTTTCTCCTGGTCTGCTCAGACTGTAACAGGTTAAGCATGAGGAAGCGTGTATATGTTCCCTCAGGCTTATGTTTCTTCAGTATTATCGGAGCAATGAATACAAGGTCACATATCCAAAACATAAAATACAATGGGTAGGGGCATGCAACAACACATAATGTGCATTATAGTCAGCCCTGATGCTGAGGGAACATAGGGCTGACCCTGAGCAGGACTGTCATTGATTACGTCGAGGCTCGCAGGGAATCATGGGAGTGATTCTCTCTGCCACATAACAAGTTCAGTCAATTTTTAATTAATTTAGATAATCTTTTACATACTATACCTTTAAGTGTTGCATGGTATATCAAAATGTTGCTACCTTTTTTCACTTTTTGTTGATAAAAGGTTCGGTACGAGACTTTTCCAATGTTTGATACTTTTTGTTGGTCAAATGTGGCTACGAGTATATGTGACTGACAGAGTATGGTCAAGACTGAGAGAATTAAAAATTAAAAAAAAATTACAATGCAAGCCTCCACCATGAGAGAGAAGCATTGTCTCAGACTATTAGGCTACAGTAAATGGGCATTAAAGCCATCACACATTATGGTGTACTACAATTATATTTCCCACAATAGGAGGGAAACATCAGGGTCAACTTAATCAGAAGCTGATGATTAGGAGGTGCTGCCGCACCCTCAGCACCCTTCCCGCGTCCCTGGTCTGTGAATTTTGTAAATGTCATAGTGAACATGACAACATGAACACAAACACGAGAAGCTCAGGAAACTTGAGTGTCATCATAGAGACTAATATTAACTTGTGGTATCACCAACAGTAGCATGCATCATGCAGCGTACGATCACTAGCGATGAAGCGTCAACTTTTTTGCATTTCAGGGGTTGAGCTCATCGGCTTTCCTCTGCAGCGGAGTTTTCAGGAGTGACGTTATGTGCTTAAACATCTCCCTCCTTCTGTCACGCTTTCCTTCACGAGCGAGACCAAGCAGGTCTTCCTATGTCTTGTCTCTGATACTCACGCTTACACACACACACACACACACACATTCTGCGGGGCAGTAAATCCTGTAAGTGAACTTGCAAATACCCCGTTGCTCTATTTTAAGAAGATGTAAGGTCATCCTCGATCAGGCCAACAGCTGCCGGTCAAGTGACATCACATGATGGTTATGAATTCTTTTAAACCGGACATGAAGGCATTCATATGTAGTGTCTTTATGATTTTTTATTTTATGTCATTCTTTGGCCGATTTTGTGTAGCTTGCAGAGTAATGGTCATGTTTACGAGCGGGAACTTTGTTTGCCAGGAGATGAGTGTGTCCTCTGGGTCGTCTTTGTTTGACCCTGCCTGTGTCTTCATGTGTCGTACACAAGGACATCATGAGACAAAAACAATGCCAAGAATAACATCCTTTTCCTTCTGTCTATCAGGCTGTTAAGAGTTTTATTATTTCAAATCGAGGCAATTTTCTTAAAACAATTAAAAGTCACATTAATATAAGAATCCATATTAATGTTGCCTGTTTCTGAAGCGTGTCCACAAATAAACTATATTACTCACAAATCTGTTGACTTCAATATCCGGTTATTTCACTCGAGAGATTCCATAATTACCATGACATTATCGACAACTTAATATCTACAAAAAATAAATTAAAACACCTTCAGAAATCATTCAAACTGATGCTCCTACAAATTCTACAACAGACAAAGACATATGTCTATATCATTGACATGATGATTATATTATTATCCAAAGACTCAACACCACCAAAGACCTAATATTCACCAAAGTTTTGTCAAATAATAATCAGTACAAGTGTATTCTTTGAAATGCAATATTTCCCATGAATTATATTTTCACTTAATTATCGATCTAACATGTTTTACGAGCATTTTCAGAAACCAGAATGCTTAAATGAAATAGATTTATTGATTAAAAAAGTTCTTCATATCTAATCCAATGATGAAATACGATACGACATACCATTTTTTCGTCTTTAGTATGTAACTCTGACACCTAGTGTTTAAAATGGGTACTGCAGTCCAAATTCAAAACATTAGAGAGAGCTGTCTAACCCTGCCCCCTCCTCTCTACAGTCAATGCTCATGCAGGTCACCATGGACACTGAAGCTTCAGTGTTTAGCCAGCTCTGCATCGGTCTGTAAACCTTTCTGCGTTCTAACCTCTCTCCATTTTTCAAAAGCATCTCCAATATTGATCCTAGTTTGAGCACGTTTCTGCGACTAGCTGGAAGAAGAATGGAAAATTAAGGCTTGATTTGAGAATCACTGTGGCACTGATATTAGTTCTTTAAAACATAAATGCAAAATGTGCTTCTTGTTTTACATTCCTCATCTACCTGCTCTTGTTAATTTAACGCATGTCTACTTATTAGTAGAGTAGCATTTAGTAAAGTTGCTTGAAGCAGCACATCTCAAAGTATAGTCGGAACATGAGCCAGTGTAAGCGGCACAATACGTATATAAATAAAACAGTCCTGGTTATGAAACGTGGTCGGAAACAAGGGCACCAACTGGAAAAAGGAATCAGATGGGAGTCTTTCTAATTAACAAGCGGGCTCAACTTTCAGGATAGTCCACTTCATTAGAATGTAAGAGTGTAAGTGTGTGTGTACAGTATGTTTGTGTGTAGTCAGTGTGTAGAGTTACAGCTCTGATGTAAATGATTAGTTCATGGACCGACTGTATTATTGGCATGGACGACACCACCGCAGAGAAATACAACCATGATAAGGCTCAGGCAATGCAGTGTGTCTCGATATAGAATGGATCTTCATTGTAATAACTCAGAGAACATTGCAAACATGAGTGGATCTCAGTATATGTGAGTCAGCTTACTCTTCCAATGCTGTGAAACAATGGTCCAAGCCACAGAAAAATAACAGCATCATCAGCACCAAACTGAGGTTTGTTTAGGATCACTTCTGTAGACGTTTACTTTATTAAAGCCTACGTGTGTCCTGGGTCTGTTTACAATGGCATTTTACAACTCTTTTGCCCCACTTGATTACAACTCAGTCGCCCCCGGGTGCAGTCAAAGGCAGACTGTAAATTAAGTCATGGAGACGCACATGGACACAACAGTTCTTTAAATCACACTCTATTTAAACATGATGTTTACAGTACAGAGTCAGGAACCAAGAACCCTGGAGCCAACACTCAGCGGGTTATCTGTGCAAAAATA